CTGTGGTGCCTTGAGTCTTACACTAATACATTGCTTCTCCAGGAAAAACTCTGATTTGAGGTGTCAGAGGCTCTTGACCAGCACATTAAGCTGGACCTGGGGCGTTCCTGAATTGCAGGTGCTGCATTAAGGCATCAGCTACCCCAGATTTCTGGGTGTTCCCACAGAAATTACAGTCCAGCTGCAGCTGAAGAACCTCAGTACCTCTGGGCCTTGTGCAGTCTGTAAAGGTGTAGTAGCTCTCAGATTTTGGGGAGGGGGTTGCCCATGTTACCACTTTTGTTTAAAGCTGCTGCTACAAGAGAATTTTCCAAAAATGGAGATGTAGGAAGTGCAGAAAGCATCTGTTGCTGTCATCTGCCTCTGTTATTTTCTTGTTCCCTATTTATTTGGATTAGAGTACACGTCTAGCTGTGCATGTAATGGTTGAATTTCCTGACCATCAAATCAAAATTTTCTGAGTATCAAGAAATGTGCTATTAAGTATAAATATATAGAAAAGCATGTGAAGGTGCTTAAATTGCAGAGCAGATATTCAACATGCTTTAATTACAAAGTTCTATAACGTTTCTGGTTTCTAGTGGGGAAAATGGAGACCATAGCAAGACACTTGCACTGACTTCAGCAAAACTTGTCACTGAAATGAGATGGCAGAGAGATTTTCAGTGGTAGCCTTGCCTTGGATCCTGTTCCTCAGGTGAGCTTAGAAATTCTTAGAAAGTCTTAGAAGTCTGAATTATTTTTCCTTAGCAAAGCAGTGCAGGAAGCTGAGCCAGACAAGCTGCAAGGAGAAGGAACAGAGTGCAGCCTGTGCTGGGGGGTTGGAGCTGCAGGGATTGAGGGGAGCAGGGGATGTGCTGCTCCCCAGCCCCTGGGATCACTGTGATCCCATGGGATGGTGCAGCAGGCAGGGCAGGCCCCTGGGATCACTGTGATTCCATGGATGGTGCAACAGGCAGGGCAGGCCCCTGGGATCACTGGGATCACTGGGATCCCATGGGATGGGTGCAGCAGGCAGGGCAGGCCCCTGGGATCACGGATCACTGGGATCACTGTGATCCCATGGATGGTGCAGCAGGCAGGGCAGGCCCCTGGGATCACTGTGATCCCATGGATGGTGCAGCAGGCAGGGCAGGCCCCTGGGATCACTGGGATCCCATGGGATGGGTGCAGCAGGCACGGCAGGCCCCTGGGATGCCCTGGGATCACTGGGATGCCCTGGGATCACTGTGATCCCATGGATGGTGCAGCAGGCAGGGCAGGCCCCTGGGAGCACTGTGATCCCATGGGATGGGTGCAGCAGGCAGGGCAGGCCCCTGGAATCACTGGGATCCCATGGAGGGTGCAGCAGGCAGGGCAGGCCCCTGGAATCACTGGGATCCCATGGGATGGGTGCAGCAGGCACGGCAGGCCCCTGGGATCACTGGGATCCCATGGGATGGGTGCAGCAGGCAGGGCAGGCCCCTGGGATCACTGTGATCCCATGGGATGGGTGCAGCAGGCAGGGCAGGCCCCTGGGATCACTGGGATCCCATGGAGGGTGCAGCAGGCAGGGCAGGCCCCTGGGATCCCCTGGGATCACTGGGATCACTGTGATCCCATGGGATGGGTGCAGCAGGCAGGGCAGGCCCCTGGGATCACTGGGATGCCCCAGGATCACTGGGATCCCATGGGATGGTGCAGCAGGCAGGGCAGGCCCCTGGGATCACTGGGATGCCCCAGGATCACTGGGATCCCATGGGATGGTGCAGCAGGCAGGGCAGGCCCCTGGGATCCCCTGGGATCACTGGGATCACTGTGATCCCATGGGATGGGTGCAGCAGGCAGGGCAGGCCCCTGGGATCACTGGGATGCCCCAGGATCACTGGGATCCCATGGGATGGTGCAGCAGGCAGGGCAGGCCCCTGGGATCCCCTGGGATCACTGGGATCCCATGGGATGGGTGCAGCAGGCAGGGCAGGCCCCTGGGATCACTGGGATGCCCCAGGATCACTGGGATCCCATGGGATGGTGCAGCAGGCAGGGCAGGCCCCTGGGATCCCCTGGGATCACTGGGATCACTGTGATCCCATGGGATGGGTGCAGCAGGCAGGGCAGGCCCCTGGGATCACTGGGATCCCATGGATGGTGCAGCAGGCAGGGCAGGCCCCTGGGATCACTGGGATCCCATGGAGGATGCAGCAGGCAGGGCAGGCCCCTGGGATCACTGGGATCCCAGTGATCACTGTGATCCCATGGATGGTGCAGCAGGCAGGGCAGGCCCCTGGGATGCCCTGGGATCACTGGGATGCCCTGGGATCACTGTGATCCCATGGGATGGGTGCAGCAGGCAGGGCAGGCCCCTGGGATCACTGGGATCCCATGGAGGGTGCAGCAGGCAGGGCAGGCCCCTGGGATCCCCTGGGATCACTGGGATCACTGTGATCCCATGGGATGGGTGCAGCAGGCAGGGCAGGCCCCTGGGATCACTGGGATGCCCCAGGATCACTGGGATCCCATGGGATGGTGCAGCAGGCAGGGCAGGCCCCTGGGATCACTGGGATGCCCCAGGATCACTGGGATCCCATGGGATGGTGCAGCAGGCAGGGCAGGCCCCTGGGATCCCCTGGGATCACTGGGATCACTGTGATCCCATGGGATGGGTGCAGCAGGCAGGGCAGGCCCCTGGGATCACTGGGATGCCCCAGGATCACTGGGATCCCATGGGATGGTGCAGCAGGCAGGGCAGGCCCCTGGGATCCCCTGGGATCACTGGGATCCCATGGGATGGGTGCAGCAGGCAGGGCAGGCCCCTGGGATCACTGGGATGCCCCAGGATCACTGGGATCCCATGGGATGGTGCAGCAGGCAGGGCAGGCCCCTGGGATCCCCTGGGATCACTGGGATCACTGTGATCCCATGGGATGGGTGCAGCAGGCAGGGCAGGCCCCTGGGATCACTGGGATCCCATGGATGGTGCAGCAGGCAGGGCAGGCCCCTGGGATCACTGGGATCCCATGGAGGATGCAGCAGGCAGGGCAGGCCCCTGGGATCACTGGGATCCCAGTGATCACTGTGATCCCATGGATGGTGCAGCAGGCAGGGCAGGCCCCTGGGATGCCCTGGGATCACTGGGATGCCCTGGGATCACTGTGATCCCATGGGATGGGTGCAGCAGGCAGGGCAGGCCCCTGGGATCACTGGGATCACTGTGATCCCATGGAGGGTGCAGCAGGCAGGGCAGGCCCAGGCCGTGGCTGTACTCACCCCGCAGGGCGCGGTCCCGTCTCCAGCGCGAGCCGCCGCAGGTGAACACCACGGCTCTGATGAAGTCTCTCCCGCAGAGCCTCACCTTGCTCCCTTCCCCTCTCCCTTCCCGTGCCAGGAGCAGGAGAGCCAGGCAGCCCAGTGCCAGCAGGGTGCCCCTCATGCTGCCAGCGTGGTGATTCCCAGCTGGCTGGGAGCTGGCAGGAGGGATGAAGTGGGGAATTCTGCTGGAGCTGTCCCATTTATACCAACGGTCTGTCCACTCCACTGGGTAACAGCTCACTCTGAGGGTGGCTGTGTTTGCTGCAAACAAATAAACTGCTTGTTTCTGGTCATGTTTGAAGTGCTTTGGGATCTCAGTCAGGTATGAAAGATTTCTGAAGTCTACGTAGCTGCTTTACTGGGAACACCTGAGGTGTAACAGTTTATGGGGTATGGCTCGGATGGATGCAGTTAATGTGTGTTCTGCCAGAACAAAAGGGTGCTTGTGATGGGATTTGTCCTCAGTGGGTTTGGTGTCTGTGTTCCCCACACAGCCTGATACCCAGTCCTGGCTGGGGTCTTTTTGTGTTGGTGCTCCCAAAGAAGAATGGAATGAAATCCTCCCCATGATGTCAGCATCATGCACCTCTTCATTCCCCACCTTGGCTACTGCTAATTGTGGATGCTTGTGGGGAAACCCTGCCAGTGCCAAGCACTGCTGAGAAAATCCACTCCAGAGGGGCTTGTGCCATATATTGATATCCCAGCCAGGATTCCCAGTGTGCCAAGAGACAGGACATGATCCTGCAGCACATGGAGCTGAGTCCCTGCTCTGGGAGCAGAGCTTGGTTCTGAGTTACTGGTTCCTATTGTTGGCTTTGGTGTATTTACGTTTCTATTAAAAAATCCTTGCAATAAAATGCCTCTAAGAGGAAATTTCTGACTTATAGAGTCAGAAATTCCATGTTTAAGAAAAAAATACATGAGGAACTTTGGAGATCTTGAGCCCTTCCTAGCACCACAAGGATTTTCCAGCACCATAAAGTTACAGGTAATTGATTTTCACTGTGTGCAGGGTGGGTTATGATGTGTTACAGAAAGCTTGTTTTCTGGCAGTGAGCAAACAGTCATGGGCATCAATGGAAAATACAGGGTGTATTTTGGTCAGATTTATAATCATGATTAACAAATGATTCACCTTAACGAGTGTCTTTCCTTGAAACACACCAAGATGAATTTTATGTCAGGGGGAAGTTTGCATGTGCCCTGTCAGGTGTGCAGCACACAGAGGGAAGTGGATGTTAATGCAGCACAAATGATCCTTAATTCAGTGCTGTGTTTGAGTGCTGGCTGTTTATTGTCAGGATAATGAGAGAGGCTGCATGTTGTGCATCTATAAAATACAGGTTTCCATACGTAATGTGCTCGGCAGCAGGGCCACAGCTTGTGCTTTATCACTCCTCTGGAGATGCTCCCTGTTTCCTGTGGCCAGGAAGTGCCTGGAAATCCTCCAGCTGGGTATTTTTTTCTGTTTCTTCTGCTCTGCCCCCCAAAAAAAACCAGCCCAGGCAGCCAAACACTGTCTGCTTTCAACCCAAAGAGAAAAGATTTGGGGGAAAAGCAGAAAGGGATAAAGACCAGAGGAGAAAAGACTGCAGAGACCTTTCCATGATCAGGATTCCAGAGAAGGCCACCCATGCATGAGCACTGATGGTGCAACGAGGGGACTTCCAGGAGGAAAACGAGGCCATTTGAAAGAAGTTTCTAAGCAGTGTGGCTTCAAAGAGAAACTTTATTGATTAAAAAAGATAACCAGTTTATGTTCACACTCCAGCAGGTGTTTCCTGAAGGAGAAGGGATATCAGCCACTGTTAAACAGCTCCAGCAGGAGCAACAATGTCATACAAGGAGCCAACCTGGAAAACAAGAGGAAAGAGAGCTGATTCTTCTGTGGAATTCTGTTAATGCTGGAAAACAGCACTTTTTGGCAGGCCAGGTTGGGTTGCATTTGTGCTGTCCTATTTGGCAGCACGCAAACATTTATCTCATTTATAAAGGAAATAAATTCCCAGGGGTGTGGCAGCAGAAGAGCAGGAACCACTACCTTTAACCCGGAATTGTGATCCCACCATTGCAATATTGCCTGGCTGGGTGTTTCCCAGGACTGCCTGGCTGGGGAAGGAGCCCAGGCACTGTGAGCACAGCCATACCTGGTCGGAGCTGGGGACAGCCAGGCTGGGCAGCAGCCACACTCCCACCTGGCCACAGCTGTCCCCCAGGAGCAGGCACTCGGCGTTCCTGGCAAACAGCAGGGAGCTCAGCTTCCCTTCAGGGCTGGCAGCACAGGACAGCACCGGGTCGAAGCTGCAAGCCAAGAGTTAATGGCACCATGCATGCATCAGCTGAAGGGCTGCACATCTCACTTCCTGTGTTCTAGGTCATCTCAGAAATTGGGAAGTGAGGTAGGGCTTGGTTTGGGCTCTGCCGGCACAAAAATCCCGGCTGCTGTTAACTGAGACTGTTAACTGAGATATCCTACTTGCCTAAAATCTGTCCTAACCTGGAGAGTAGTGGTTAATATTTTTGTTAGATGAATAATTTGCAGGATGTGGCAGGGCTCTGGATCCACCAGGGCTTCACACTGTCAGTAACACAAAAAACACAAAACCCAGAGCAGCTGGACAAGGTGACAGGTAACGGAGTCACCTCAACTTCAGACCATCCAATCTTTACCAAAGTAGCTCAGTTTTGTTATTTTTCCTCCTAACTCTGCCACAATTTTTGCAGAGAAAGGGCAGTTTTATACTTTATCAGCTCCAGGAGGCATCCAGCTCCTTCTCTTCTCACCCCAAATCTCTGGTAACCACCATCTGCTCTTACACAATGAGTATTTATGAAGGCAATGGTTTGAGCAAGCAAGGCATGGAGCTGTAATGATCTGATAAAAACACCGATGAGGTAACAATGTGTGACGATTAAATTTCAGACTTTTCCTTGAGAAGAGTCATTACTCACATGCTGACACTCAGATCCCAGATCTCCACCCTCTTCTCATTCACTGCTGCGAAGATGAGGGCTGATTGTGGAGCCCACTTGATGTCATGAACAAAAGCTGTGACAGAAGTGAAGGTTAAAAGGGGGGTGTGGGAATCCCTGTGCCACAAGAGGATGCTCCAGTCTGCAGAGCAGCTGAGGAACATGTCTGTGCTGGTGGGATTCCAGGCAACTTTGTACACAGGGCCCTGTTTGGAGAGAAACAAAACAGATCCGGGTGTTGCTGCAGAGCTACAGAATCTGTTCTAGAGCTAGCAGCCTTCCTCCCACAGGTAAGACTATTTAACTCTACAGGACAATCAGATTTCTGATTGCTGTCTTAAAATAAAGCCAGAGCTAAAGCTTTAAAACAGTTTACAGTAAATAAACTGTTTTAATAAATAGTAAAGAAACAGTTTTAATAAATTGCTTGAAGAAACCCTGACAGTGTAGGAAGTAATGCCATTATACTGTGATGCTTTATGCTATGGGAATAAATTCCTAATATAAGAGAAGAAGTTTAGGTTTCTTTTGTTGCAGATGTTCACTAAATATAAGCAAAGATTGCATTTTTGAGTTAAGCAGTCCCTGCTGTCCTTGTTTACAATGTCACTCACCTCATGGCCTCTGTATGTGCCCAGAATCTGCTCCTTGCCTGAGCAAGAGCAGCAGTAGATGTGTCCCTCTTCTGTTCCAGCAAGAAAAATATCAGTATCCTGAAAGAAAGGGAAAAGTGGCTTAGGTTGGATGAATTTATCACTCCTGCAGAAATCCTCCAGGGCTGGAGGAGTTCAGAGCCAAGGAGGAGCTCCTGTGAGTGGTGGGGAAAGTGGAATCACAGCGTTGCACATTTGCTGGGTGTGTTCTCCACCAATGCACAACGTGCTGGGGTTTGACTCCTGAAAATCTTGGATTTTCAGCAATCCATGTGGAAAATGCATGAATTCTTCAAGTGCTCTGTGGAGGAAGGACTCAAATGGATGAAGAGAAGCTCAGCTGAGTCCTGGATGTGGGAGGTGTTGGACAAATTCTCCCAGCCTTGGCCATCACTCAGAGGGGAACTGCCCTGAGCCTGCCCAAGGAAATGTGAGTAACGTGGCTGGGAGTGATGCCTGAAGTTTGAGCTTATTTACCCTATAAATCCATTTCTCACAATTCTGTACTGCATTAGTGTATAGTTCTGAACTTCATATAAATGTTAGCAAGTTCTCCTCACAGCTCAGTAACACAGAACAATAATTTTCCAGCCCCAGAACCAAGGACACCACTGCAGCTTCAGCCCCAAAAAGTGCAAATAGCAGGAAATGGAGGAGAGCAACCTGGGAGGCTGGGACTGCAGAACTTGGAGCTGGAATTGGACAATTAACCACAATATGGAAATGGACCCAAAAAGTGTGCTCCATTTCCATATTGGGGTTAAAAAAGTGGGGTTATAAAAGTGTGAGAACTTGTGACTCAGGGTCCATCCTGGGTAGAGCCATGGCCAGGCTCTTGCACTGCCCAAGGTGTATCCTCTGAAGGCCTTTTAACAAATCCCTACTTTGCTCCTTTAACACTGCCTAGCCTCTGTTCCAGGCAGCCTCTCTGGGCATCAGGAGGACAGGGCTTGTTTTGCCATTTCACCCATTTGGGGTAAACCTTAGTAGCTAGAAAGCAATTTATTTCAGAATGAATATGCTTTAAAGAGCAGTGCCAAGTCCCTGGCTAGCTCCCATTAAAGCAGCTCCAGCTGAGCCTCCCACCACTGCTGCAGAGTTTTCCTGGCTAATGCTTCAGCCAGGATGGGCTTCCTGAGCCTACCTTTGGATGGAAGTCAAAGCACATTCCAGCTGCCTGTTGTGATATGGGACCTTCACTTTTCCTTTCTCTCTCACCTGGTAATTTTTTCTTCTCAGTTTCTGTTCGCTTGATTTGCATCACATCTGTGCAGAGAACAGGAGGTTTTGTCAAACAGGAGCAAGGAACCTGTGCTGCTCTGGGATGCCCAGCAGCTCTGATATGTTTTGTGGGGTTACTGGTGTAAAGAATGCCAGCTGGAGTCAGAGAGAGCAGTTTCAGGGGCTCACCAGAGCAATCCAGCCTTTGCTGAATGAACCACTGGGTCATCCGCCCGTCTCCCGAGATGCACATCAGTCTCTCCTCTTTGTCACCTGCTGTTGCACCTCCTTCCTGTTCCACCCACTTCAGCTGCCACACAGGACCTTTGTGTTTATTTAGGGATGCACTGGGACAAAAAAAAATGCACGTGGTAAATCACAGATGAGCAAAGACAAGACAACATGTTTGAAAAATAATTAGGCTTCCACTTTGTAATGAGTGTTAAGTCTTATAACAGAAATGTTTCGCTTTTCTTTTTAAAAAAATGGTCTGAACATTGGTTGTTTTCTCCAGGAGAATGTTTCCTTATTAAACATGTTTGATAATTAGTTTCAGGGCACTGTTTATGTGCTTGTGCCATGAAATCAGTCTGCACCTTGTAGGAAAGACTTGGGGAGCTGCCCTTAGGGCAGGTGCTTCCCTTATCACCCACCCATCCCCTCTCTCATCATCTCCTTAATTCCTGCTCACCCCTCACTTTTGTTGATGTTTCTCCAGTTTTGGCAAGAGGGATCAGAGAGAAATCACCAAAAGCTGCCCCTGATCTGCCACATGGATTTATTACCCAGGGCTGGACTGTCCCAGGTAGGACACAGAATATGAATCATAAATCCATGAATTTATAATTGATGGGGTAAAGAGCTGCAGTTCCTTAGAGGCTGAGGGACTGGCAGTCCCTGTTGCCCTGTCCAAGGCCTGCTGGCTCAGGAGGAGGAGGTGGAGGCCAGGCTGACCTGCTCCTCACTTTTGCTGATGTTCTCTCCAGTTTTGGCAAGAGGGATCAGAGAGAAATCACCAAAATCTATCCCTTTTATTATTTATTACCTAGGGCTGGATTGTCCCAGAATATGAATTATTTATTCATGAATTTATAATTGATGAGGGACATAGCTGCAGTTCCTTAGAGGCTGAGGCACTGGCAGTCCCTGTGGCCCTGTCCAAGGCCTGCTGGCTCAGGAGGAGGAGGAGGAGGAGGAGGAGGAGGAGGGTCCCTGACCTGCTGTCCAGCAGCGCGGTGTCCTGGCGGCTGCGCACGTCGTAGACGGCCACACGGCCACTGGCTGTCCCCACTGCCAGCAGGTGGGGCCTGGCCAGGGAGAAATCCACGGCGGTGACGCCGTCCTCACAGCGGAAAATGCGCTCTGGCCACTGCCAGGAGAGAGCACAGCAACCTCTGAGCTGGGCTAGCAGCCCCTGGCTTGTCTGAGCACTCAGTGTCTGCTGGAAACGCCAGTGTTGCAGTGTGATTTCCTGTCTCACCTATCCCAACCCCTCAGGTGTGCCAACCTCTCCTTTCCCCTTTGCCCTCCTGCTAAGAGCTGCCCATCAATCTTAACATTCCAGCAGGGTCGTGGTGTGGTTGGCAGAAGTTCCAAAGATGCCCCTCAGGTCCGGGCTCATTGGCCTGTCCCAGTGTCTTTATCCCTTGAGCCTTCCCCTCCTCACACCTGGTTGGTCCTCACCTGTCCCTTTGTCCCTTCCCCTGTCCCCAGGGCTTAAAAGGACACGGGACCATGGGGTCTGGATTCTGTTGGGAGCTGTTACCACATTCAGAGTCTGTCAGCCTGGAATAAACTCTGGATTAAAACTCTACAGCAGAATCCTCTCCTTTCTCTTCACCGTCCCCTGAACCTTTTCCACCAGAGGGAAACTGAGTTCCTGCTGTGCCTGGATTTGTTCCCAGTGCCCAGCTGCAGCACCCAGCCTGCCAAAGGTGTCTCTGAGGTGAAACACCACAGCTGCTGCCTTTGGTCCAGCAGCAAGGGCCAGACGGGGCCAGGCATGTCCCACCTGGAAATATTGGGATTAATATTCCATATGCCAGTGATGGTGCCCACAGGGACCAGAAAAGATTCTTTATTCTGATTGGCCACGTATTTCTCGCTACAACTGATAAAATTAGGAAAAAGATAAAGATTGGGCAGAAATATGACACTGGAAAATAAGTTAGGTGAGGCTACTCCAAACCAAATATATAAAAATATCTATGGTGGCAGCAGGGAATCAGGAGAGTATTTGGTGTGGCAAGGCTACTCCAAACCAATTACATAAAAATATCTATGGTGACAGCAGGGAATCATAAAAGTACTTGGTGTGGTAATGATGCATCAAAGATTTGACTCTGCCTGATTTAAATTAGTCTAATACAGGTCTGGCCAAGAGAAGTTTGTAGTAGAAATCAAACTGGAATGTTGTAATTTATGGCAATCAGAATTTTTTTACTTTGGGACACTTTGTAAGTGAGATTTTCAAATTTTTTTTTTTAAATGGCTGTTCTTTTTCAGATGGATCTGCAGAGGTGTAAATGTTACATCTATGAAATTTCCTCTCTTACTGACGCTGTTGTGAGAAAGTTAGAGGAAATAATTGTAGCTAAAAGGGAAATTCAGCAGAAATTGTCCAGAGCAAAGCAGATTGCAGGAAAAGCAAACAAAAGGGCTCGTTACCATGGGGTTCTTCAGTGACCAGCAGCAAGCCAGGCCTTTCTTCTTATCCCGAGAAACAAACTCCCTGTAACCAACTGCCAAGAGATCCTGCAAGCACAGAGCAACAGCAGTGCCTCAGTTCCACCTGGAGCTCAGCAGGACATTTCCAAAGGCACTTTGTGCCTGGAATAACAAAGCTTCTCTCCCATGCAGGAGATACATTGCTCTATAATCATATTTTAATGTGCATTATTTAATGGAGTACATCTAATTTTCCCTCTCAGGGTTAGCTGTAAAAGGAGCTTCAGAGAGCACTTCAAACTCCTGGCTTTTAGCTTTCCCCAGTCCAGTGAATTCCCTTCATTCCTTTCCATAGGCAGAAGTAAAAACCAGCAGCTTTAGCCTTCAGCTCCAGTAATTTTTCTTTTCTTGCACTCAACAAGTAGTTTGTGAAACTCACATTTTAAAAGTAGCTGAGTGTTTGCCCTGTATTCTAAGACTGAAGTCTCTAAATGTGTCTAACTTTTTAATATCTGGAGATTTGGTGCACTAAGAGTATGACATGGTCTTTATTTTCTCTCTTTTTTTTCCCTCACTGGTTTTCTGTTTCTCATCCTCAGCTGCTTTTTACCCCTCTTCCATTCATTATTTTTGTTTAATAAGTGAGTTCTGGTGGGCAAACAGAGCTTTACATGACCAGACTTAGGAAGCTTTGCCTTCTGTGCTGTTATTATACATCTTATCCTTAAATTTGGAGGAATTCTGCTGTTTTGGGAGGTTCCTGTTAGAGACAAAGATGTGTTGTCTAAACTACCACAAAAAACCTCCATCAATGATGACAAAGTTTAGCAGCAGGGGTTAAATTTCAATTTTAGAACAGACCAAGTTGATGAAGATTGGTGCTCAGGGAGCAATTAATGAAATTCTGGGCCAACTAAAGCTGTGATGTGTAGGGAAATCCTACAGATTAAAGCAGTGAGAGTGAGGACTGGATCCACCTTTGAGATGCAGCCCAGGATCAGGGGTTCCTGCCAGCCCCAGCTGCCTGTCCCAGTTTGTGGCCAGCTCAGGAAGGGTTTGTGCACTCACAGGGTTCACTTTGTTCCAAGCCATGCTGCTCACGCTGTGCCCCCTGGTTAAATCACACCTGTATGACCACAGCAGCTCCAGCCTGGGGCCTGCCCCTTCTGCTGGGCCTTCAGCTGGCTCTGCTGCCTCCTCCTGCTTCTCCTCCTCATCCTCTTCATCTTCTTCCACCTCGGCGTCTGAGGTAACAACAGGTTCTAAAATGTGCAGATGCAGAATCTGAGTGGAAGTATTTATAATATATATATATATTTTATAATTATATATTTATATATATTTATATATATTTATATATATTTATATATATTTATATATATTTATATCTATAATTATATATAATTATATATAATTATATAATTATACATATTAATATAATTATACATTAAATATATATTTTATTATAATATATATAATATATAAAATATATTATATATAATATATATTTTATATTATATATTAGATATATTATATATAATTATAATTATTTATGATATATAAATATATGTATACAATTATACCTAATTATAGGTATAATGGTATACATATATTTATATTTGATATTTATTTTTATTATTTTATATGTTATTTATTATATATATTATTTTTATATTTATATATACTAAACCCATGTAATGTAACCTATATTCTTATATATAACCCAGATTATATAACCTATATTATTAAATACAACCTATATTATTATAGGTTATAATACTATAACTCCAATTATTTCCACCAGAAGAAAAATTTGCCCTTTCAGCAAATATTTTGCAAAAGGAAAGGAAAGGAAAGGAAAGGAAAGGAAAGGAAAGGAAAGGAAAGGAAAGGAAAGGAAAGGAAAGGAAAGGAAAGGAAAGGAAAGGAAAGGAAAGGAAAGGAAAGGAAAGGAAAGGAAAGGAAAGGAAAGGAAAGGAAAGGAAAGGAAAGGAAAGGAAAGGAATTAAGACATCTTAATTTCTAAAACTGTGGCTAAAATTGGCTGGGGACAGAGCAGACAGCTGGATTGGGCTGGAGTGAGCCAGGTCTGCTGCAGGTGGATGAGGTACCCAGGCAAAAGTGAGGAATTTCTGTGGAAAATGGGGAATTTCTGGCTGAAAAGAGGGTACTGAGCAAGGAACAAACCTATGAGGACAGGAATCTGCCGATAGACTGCGAGCTTGGGCTGGAAAATGTTCTCCATGAGAATCCTCTCCATGACAACTAAATCCTGCTGCAGCTTTGCTGAGGTTAGGATCCCTCCTGAGTGGCATTCCTGCTCCTCGGGGCTCCTGGCAGGAGCAGCACTCTCTGCAAGGGTGATGGAAGAAGCTGAATTACAGAATCCTGGGATATTCCAAGCTGGAATGGATCCACAGGGATCGTGGAGCCCAACAGGCCCACACTGCCTGATAAGAGATAAATGGCATAGAAATGCTTTGAACATGATAAAACTTCACACAGAAAGATCAAGGGATAAGAATTTTCCTCCACCTGCAAAAAGGAGAGAATTTTAAAAAATACTTTCACTGTGATTTTCTTTCCTATAATTTTCTTATCATTTTATCATCTTATCACTTTTTCTCATTATAATTTCCTTATCTTTTTCAGCTACTTCTGGAATTTTTCACAAATGGTGTTTTGCCTCTACTTTTTAAAGTGAGTATCAGCAAACCTTGTTCCTGAGTATTTCTCTGTATTTAAGATGATTTCTGATGGCAGTGTGCAGAGAAGTGCAGCCCTGCCCAAGATTCTTCAGCAAACTCTCTTGCAGGTTCCAGGCAGTGTTTTTCAGGAAGTTTTCCCCACAGATCCCAGGGATGTGCCTGGTTTAGAAGGATGAGGACAGGGCAGAAATGGGAAATGTTACCTGTGGCAGGAGGGACAGCCCCAGCCTGACCCTGCTCTTCAGCTGTGGCAGATGTGCTGCTTTTCCCTGCTGGGGTTTCAGGTTTTTCTGTCTCTGCAGGTTCTGTTTCTGAGACATCCAGTGGATTGTCCAAATCCCAGGGAATCACCATCATCCCTGGGAATGAATTCCCTGTCACACAGGGCTCTTCTTTTGCATTATTATCTTCTTCTTTTACATTATTGCAGGGAGCTTCCTACACCCCAACTGCTGGGCTGGGCTTTGGAACCACCTCTGCTTCCAAAGCTGTTGATATTTGAACTGATATTTTTCATTAAATATTGTAATTTCATCTTTTAATTGCCATCTTTTACAAATTTACAGAAAAGGTTGCCTGTGCTTAATAAGAATCATTAAAGCAGATAAAATAAAGCACCTCCTGTTGTGTGACTGGTGCAGCTCCATCAGGGTTTTTTGGCTCCCCTTGAGCAGGGCCAGCTCCCACCCAAAACTTGCCTGGATGTGCTCAGGGGCTGGAATGAGCCCTGCTGATGCCCCCAAAAAAGTGGCAAATAGCTTTTCAAAACAGATTATGATCTACTTTGGGGGTTTTACACACACTAACACAAAGGAAAAATGTTAGAGGCTAATTTCTTCAGCCTCTTACACACAACAATAACATTCTCTGGGAGTGTTAAGAACAATTTTATTGCAATGGATTCAGTGTTCCAGCACTAAATTCAAGATTTAGGAGGGGCAGAAAAGGCCACCACAACCCACAGTGTCCTGCCTGCACTTGACGCTCTGGAAGTGGAAATTGAGGGAACATCTGCTCAGAGGTACAGGTAAAAAATGCTTTTTATCAGTGCCAGGTTTACCTTTCTCTGCCATGGTGATGGTCTCACATTGCACCTCCTTGGTTTTGGCAGCTCCAGAGAAGGTTTGCACGATTTTTTCTTCAAAGTACTCACTGTCAATTTTAGCCTCACAAATCTCTGTGTAAATCTTATTCCTCTCCCTGGGAAATAAAGGAAACACTGCCTGGTGAGTGCCTGCCTGGAATTCTCAGGGTCTGTAACAAGGAGCTTGATCAGGAGAGGCTTTTCCATGTCTGCCATGTCCTGTTTTTTGGATTGCTGGATGGAATTTCAGCCTTTGTATTATTCAGCAGCTCGTTCTGATCTTTGTGATGCTGCTCTAAAACAGGAATGGCCTGTGGAGAACAAAGCCCAGAAAAAGCAAAATTCCCTCTCCCAGCTGCCCCTGAGCTTTGGGGGATTCAGAGCTCTCATTCCTGGGAGTGAAAGGCAGGAGACAAAAAGGAAACTTCTCCTTTTCTGTTTCAGCATTGCCACCAAAGCTCTGGTAGCTCAGGGAGGACCAAGGGGAGCTGCCTGCTACCTTTAACTCTTCTTAATTAATGAATAATTAGAAGGTACCCACAGGAATCAATGCAGCAGTTTGGAATGTCTTACTGCTTTCATGAAAATCAAATGATCACCCTCCTCCAGCCCTGGGTTTTCCTAAGCTGCCACGGTTTTTCAGTGGAAGGGAGGAAGAATTTCACCCACAACAGGCAGCTGTAAGAAATGGAGGTTTTGCACTCAGAGAAATGGGTGCCAGCTGTGAAAAATATGTTTATTTTCTTCTGCAAATTGAAAAAGGTTCATAAAGGACAACAGGAGATAAGGAACACAGAGTGGAGATGAGGGCTGGCTGCATCTTGGCACTTCTTTTTGGAGATACCTTTTAAATATTTTTCTCTTACATTAGCTTCTTTTATCTTCATAAATAATCATGTAGAGGAAACTTTTTCTTTAAACTAGTTAAACATATTCTAAAGCATATTCTTTAAACATATTCTAAGAATTGTTTACATGGCTCCTCTTCAGTTCTACTTTTATATAGTATCTCTATTTTTTGGTTGTGGTTTTAGGTATTTTTATTAAAATTTCTATCTATTTGTTTATTTATTTATTTGTTTGTTCATTTATTTATTTTAAATACTTTTATTTATTTATTTTGTTTCATTTAGGCCCTGGCCCACACTGTCTTTAGACAATGAGTGCTGTTAGTTGGTATATTTGTAGTAGGTGTCTTCTTTAATATGTTTATTGGATATTATTTCATCTAAGCAGGTATTTTAACACAAGTATGCTTATATCAGCTATTTCCCTACTATGTCTAAGCTTAATTAACATAAAATAAAAAGAAAATAAAAATGATAAAAATAAAATAAAATCTAAAATTACTGTACATTTATAGCAATATATATTATATATATAGCAATATATAAAAACACAATTTAAAATATATATTCTATAAAATATGTAAATATAATAAATATAATAAATATTATAAATATAATATCTAAAACACATATTATTTATTATATATAGCAATACATAAAATATGATATAGATAGCAGTAAAATATAAATAAAAATTATATATTTAAGCAAAGTTATTTTAACTCTACATGTATAAAATTGATTTTAATATTAGCAATATATAAAAAATACATATATAATATATATAGCAACATGTATATATAAATAAAACCGATATGTTTATAGCAAAGTTCTTTTAACACTACATGTATGAAATCTATTTTGATATTAGCAATATATATACAAATATAATATATATACATATTTTATATATATAAATAAAACTGATATTTTTATAGCAACGTTCTTTTAACACTACATGTATGAAATTATTTTGATATTAGCAATATATATACAAATATAATATATATACATATTTTATATATATAAATAAAAACGATATGTTTATAGCAAAGTTCTTTTAACACTACATGTATAAAATATATTTTAATATTAGCAATATATATAAAAATATTATATATATGATCTATATTATATATATCTAAAACTATATATTTACAGCAAACTTATTTTAACGCTACATGTATAAAATATATTTTAGTATTTATATATAAATATTGTATATATAATATATATAGCAATGTGTATATATATATATATATATATATATATATATATATATATATAAAACCAATATATTTATAGCAAACATATTTTAACCCTACACATATGAAATCTGGTTGAATGTTTGCAGTGACATTTGTGACTCACAGCACCCTGGGAGCCTCCTCTGCCTCGGTGGACACGAGGGCCGTGGGCAGGTCCAGCATCCAGAGCGTGTCTGTCTCCGACAGCAAAACCTCCACCCTCCGCTCCAGCTCTGCCTCTGTCAGGGCTGCCTCCCCCTCCTCCTGCTCTGCTGGGCAAGCACAACACAAACAGCACCTTGGCTGCTCCAAATCAATGGAAAATTAATGCTGGGAATCAGACAAATCCCAGAATATACAATTTTACATGTGAAATGTCCAATTACTGGGTGTGTTCTTTACCAGACATGCTCAAATCTGGGTCTTCTTGAGGTTCTGTCTCATCCAAGCCAGGCTTGGTTGTTGATGTGCTGCTTCCATGTGTCCTTCAGGCATGAAGAAATTAGAAACATGCAGAAGAAACAAGCAGAAATTGAAAAGAGAAACAAGCAGAAATTGTCTCAAAAACTAAAATAGTGTTCATTTTCTGGCGGTACTTTAAGTAATTATAAATATTTTTAATTATTAGTATTTTAATTATTAGTATTTATATCTAAATATTATTAGTATCTATATTTAATTATTAGTATTTTAATTATAAGTATTTTAACTATAATTTTAAATTTGTTTTTTATATATATTTGCTCCTGGTTGGTATCCTACCCCCTGGGATTGTCCTTTGGAACATCCAGCCTGGGAAACATGGCAGAAAAAGCAATCTTCATCTCAGATATCAGTAATTTACTAATGTAAATTTACTATTTACTATTTACTAATTTATAAATTACAATTTACTATTGTAATTATAAATTGTGAATAATTGCAATTATTCCTTGCATTTTGATCATGCTGTGGCTCAGGATTTTTCATTTAAAACACCAATAATTATTTCCCTTCGTTGCATGACTGAATTGAGTTTGTCAGCCCAAAGTCTTTGACTTTGTTTTTCCCCTCTGTGCTGTAGGTTTGTAAATGAAAATGTAGTGAAACATAATTTAGGAGTTTTAACTCCAAATTTTTTGTTCAAGAGCATTTTTGGAGATGGATGCACATAACAACACAGAGGTAACTTGCTTAAATATTATTAAAGCAAAGAATTCTTGTTATGGTAAACATATTTTGATAGTTGAACTGGTATTTTTAATATTTTAATTTGGTATTTTAATTTCTATATTTTATAATTTTGCATAAAAGCCTGTCTGCACTTACAGATAAAATACTTTAAAAGACATCCTTTACTTTTAAAAAAGTACTTATAATGCTTTATTTATTTTAAAATAAAACTTTTCTTGCCTGGCAGCATTTGGGTCTGGCTGGAAGAGGGGTTGGGGTGTCACATTCTTCCCTTCCTCATCAAAAACCTGGAGAAAAATAGAAATCATTTTCAGGATAATTTCCCTGTGTTATAGGGAGGGCACCTGGAAGGGGTTTGAATTTCTGCCTTCCTGCAGGACCAGCCCCAGATTTTTGGGATTCTTTGGGAAAAGCCACTCCTGTCACTGGGCTTGGAGGGGCAACCCAACCATTCCAGGCCTTCCCACCTTTCCCAACCCAATAATTCCAGGGTTTCTGAGATCCTTCCTGCAGGTGGATTTGGGGCTTTTCCCACCTTTCCCAGAAGAACCCAACCCAACCATTCCAGGCCTTCCCTCAGGTGGGTTTGGGTTCTTCCCACCTTTCCCAGCCCAACCGTTCCAGGGCTCCGTGACTCTTCCCACAGGTGCATTTTGGGCTCTTCCCACCTTTCCCAACCCAATATTCCAGGATTTCCATGATCCTTCCTGCAGGTAGATTTGAAGCTTTTCCCACTTTTCCCAAGGGTGCCCAACCCAACCATTCCAGGGTTTCTGTGATCCTTCCTGCAGGTGGATTTGGGACTCTTCCCACTTTTCCCAACCCAACCATTCCAGGGCTCCATATTTCTTCCTACAGGTGCATTTTGGGCTTTTCCCAAGGGTGTCCAACCCAACCATTCCAGGCCTTCCCACAGGTGGATTTGGGGCTTTTCCCACCTTTCCCAATCCAACCATTCCAGGGATCCATGGTTCTTCCTGCAGGTGGATTTTGGGCTCTTCCCACCTTTCCCAGAGGCACTCAACCCAACCATTCCAGGGTTTCTGAGCTTTTTCCCACAGGTGGGTTTGGGTACTTCCCACTTTTCCCAACCCAACCATTCCAGAGCTTTTTGGTTCTTCCCACAGGTGCTTTTTGGGCTTTTCCCACTTTTCCCAAGGGTGTCCAACCCATCCATTCCAGGGTTTTTGAGATCCTTCCTGCAGGTGGATTTGGGGCTCTTCCCAGCTTTCCCAGAAGCACCTGACCCAACCATTCCAGGCCTTCCCTCAGGTGGGTTTGGGTTCTTCCCACCTTTCCCAACCCAACCATTCCAGGGCTTTTTAGTTCTTCCTACAGATGGATTTTGGGCTTTTCCCGCTTTTCCCACCTTTCCCAACCCAATCATTCCAAGATTTCCATGATCCTTCCTGCAGGCAGATTTTGGGCTTTTCCCACTTTTCCCAAGGGTGTCCAACCCAACCATTCCAGTTCTTCCCACCTTTTCCAACCCAACCGTTCCAGGGCTCCACGATTCTTCCCACAGGTGCATTTTGGGCTCTTCCCACCTTTCCCAAGGGTGTCCAACCCAACCATTCCAGTTCTTCCCACTTTTCCAAACCCAACCATTCCAGAGCTTTTTGGTTCTTCCCACAGGTGCTTTTTGGCTTTTCCCACTTTTCCCAAGGGTGTCCAACCCATCCATTCCAGGGTTTCTGAGATCCTTCCCTCAGGTGGGTTTGGGTTCTTCCCACCTTTCCCAACCCAACCATTCCAGGGCTTTTTAGTTCTTCCTACAGATGGATTTTGGCCTTTTTCCGCTTTTCCCACCTTTCCCAACCCAATCATTCCAGGATTTCCATGATCCTTCCTGCAGGCAGATTTTGGGCTTTTCCCACCTTTCCCAAGGGTGTCCAACCCAACCATTCCAGTTCTTCCCACCTTTTCCAACCCAACCATTCCAGGGCTCCATGGTTCTCCCTGCAGGCAGATTTTGGGCTTTTCCCACCTTTCCCAAGGGTGTCCAACCCAACCATTCCAGTTCTTCCTGCCTTTTCCAACCCAACCGTTCCGGGTTTTCTGAGATCCTTCCCATGGGTGCATTTTGGGCTCTTCCCACTTTTCCCAAGGATGTCCAAGCCAACCGTTCCGGGCCATGCCCCAGGTGGATTTTGGGTTGTCCCCAGCCCTCCCTGGTCCCTCTCACCTGCAGGGGTCCCTGGCTCTGGGGGGCTTTTCCCAGGGAAGCCGAGGAAGCCGTGGAAGTTCTGCGGGAGCTCGGGGCTCTGCCGGCTCCCGGCCATGCCCTGCAATCACCACACGGGAATATTTGTAAATATCAAATTGTTACCTGTTATTATAAAGGATTTAAACAATTTATAAGAAAGGATTTTTACAATTTCTTAACTATTATAATAGATTATATATTACCTAATATTTTAAAGGATGCAAACCATTTATAAGAAAGGATTTTTATAATTTATTATATAATACAACTTATTTTTAATAATTTTTTACAATTACCAGTTATTTTAAAGGATTTTAACTATTTTTAACCATTTATAATAAAGGATGCTTATAATTGATTATATATTACCAATTATTTTAAGGGATTTCAACCCATTACAATAAAGGATTCTACTATTTCTTTTATCAATTATTACACATTGCCAGTTATAAAGGATTTCAACAATTTAAAGGATTCTTATAGTTTAATATATATTATAATTGATGATATATTACCAAATATATATATATTTAATATGATATATTTTAAAGAATGTAAACTATTTATAAGAAAGGATTTTTACCATTTCTTATATAACTTATTTATTATCAATTATTTTAAAGGATTTTAACATTTTATAATAAAGGACTCTTATATTGATTATATATTATCAATTATGTTAAGGGATTGCATCCTCTTATCAGAAAAGATTTTTACTATTTCTTACAGAGTATAACTTATTATATATTACCAATTATTTTAAAGAATTTTAACCATTTATTGCCATTTATAAGAAAGGATTCTTCCAATTCCTAATGTATTATAATTTATTATAAAATAACAATTATTTTAAAGGATTTTAACCATTTAGAATAAAGGATTCTTATAATTGATTATATATTGCCAATTATTTTAAGGGATGTAAGCCACTTCATAATCAATATAATAATTTAATAAATAAAATATTTGTAAGAATTTATTTCTCATAAACTATTATATATTATGACATATTATAGAATGTAATTTGTTATGGATTATGATTTATTATGTATTACCAATTATTTCAAGGGATGTAAATAATTTAAAATACAAGATTGTGGGATTGCAGCCACTTACTGATTATAATTTATTATATATTAATAATGATTTCAAAGGATTTTAAGCATTTATAAGAAAGGAGTGCCATTTATTATAATTTATTGTGTATGATAATTAATTACATATTACCAATTATTGTAAAGGATTTCGACCATTTATAAATAGGGCTTTTGACTATTTATTTGTTATAACTTCATATGCCTTATAATTTGTTATAGAATGTAATTTTTTATAGAATATAATTTATTATAGCATACAATTTATTATATACTACTATTCATGATCCATTACCCATTAATTCAAATATGTAAACCATTTATAATAAAGGCTTTTTACCATTGATTTATTATGACTTATTATAGAATATAATTTATTACATATTACAATTCATTAAATGCTACCCTTTGTTTTAAGGGATGTAAACCATTTATAATTAAGAATCTTGGACACATGTAATTTATTAAATATAATTTAATATTGCAGAATATAATAAATTATATATTATAACTTACGTATTACTAAGTATTTTAAGGGATGTAATCCCTTTATACTAAAGGAACTTTTCCCATTCATTAATTATAATAAATGATCTGTTATAACTGGTTCTGTACTATAATTTATCATCTCTTCCTCGGCATTTTTAGGGCTTTAAAGCTTTTTAATTCCCGTAACATTGCAGCTTTAGGCCGGACCCGCTCCCACTCACCGCGGAGGCCGCGGCCCCTGCATGGCGTCGCGCCGTTACCGTGACAACGCTGCCCAAGACGCGGCGCGCCAATTGGCCGCCAGCAAGGGCGCCGCCGATTGGTGGCGGCGCGGCGCGCGGGCCGCGCTGTGCTCGCGGCCGCAGCCCCGGGCCGTCCCCGGCCCCGGTTCGGGTCCCGCCCCCGCCCCGTGTCACCGAACCGGCGCTGCCCGCGCCCGCCGCGACACCGCCCCACCGGCCGCTCGGCCTTCCCGCGGGGCTGCGGCGTCTCGCTCGCGGGGGATTCACCCCTGAGTCAGCAAAGTCGCGCCCGCCGGGTCTTTCGGCACCGCCCGCGGGGACCGTGTGAGGGTCGGGGATGCGGCTCCTGGGCGGAGGCGCCTGGCGCGCGTGAGCCGCGCGCCTCTGCAGGGGCACGGCCGAGGCCGCGGTGTCCTCGCTGTGAGACGGCCGCGATGCCCGACGGGCGCGCCGGGCGCTGCCCAGCGCCGGCCCGGGGACAGCGCTGAGCCGGGCAGGTGAGGCACCGGGGCTGCACGGAGGACACGGTGAACGACCGCCGGGCCCGGATCTTTGTTCTGTTTATTCGGGGTGGTGTTTCGGGTGTTGTGTGTAACCTCGAGCTGTTATTGTGTCACCCAAGAGCCTCACGCCCAGCAAGAGCCCCCGTTCCCCGAGGACCCCCCGTTCGCCTCACGGCCGATGAGACACCCCCCGCGCCTCTGCGGCTCCCCGCGTGAGTACGGCGGCCGCGACCAGGCTGGGGAGGGGGAGCAGAGCGATGATGCGGAGGCGGTGGCGACGGCGGGCGGGGCCGGGGGCACTCGGGGGCCGTGAGGGGCCGCGGAGAGCGGGAACCTCAGCACGGAGCACCGGCCGGGGCGGGGCCCGGGCATTGAATGAGCTCAGAGGGGGCGTGGCCTCCGCGTGATTGCCAGGTGAGAGGGCGCGGCCTGCTCGTAGAATGACACGTGAGGGGGCGTGGCGTGTGCCGAATGACATATATGGGCATGAGGGGCCGCGGCGGCCGCGCCTCGGCGGGGTAGGGGCGTGGCCTCGCGTTTTGAGTGACAGGCGGTGCTTGTGGCATCGTGACACACGAGGGGGCGTGGCGTGTGCGGTGAGTGCCGGGCGGTGGGGAGCGGTGTGCGCTTTGATTGACGTGTAAGGAGGTAGCCTTAGACTTTGAGTGACAGATGGGGCCTTGCCTGTGCGTTGCGTGACAGGCGAGGGCGTGGCCAATCCCCCAAGTGACAGGAAGGGGGCGTATCCTCCGCCCTGACTGACAGGTTGAACCAGCGCTAAATTACATGCGAGTGGGCGTGTCCCCCCGTTGACTGACAGGCGCGGATAGGCGTGGCCTCCCCTGACTGACAGCCGCCGCACGCGCCCTGCCCGCTTCCCGCGGTGCGCGGTGACGTCGTGCGTAACGCGGCCACGCCCCTCCCGCCCCGCCGCCGCTCCCGGTCCCGTCCCCGCTGCTCCCGCCGCTCCCCCCGGGACCCGGCGGCGCTTCCCGGCGATGTGACCCCTTCCCGGGAATACCAGCGACCATGGCTGAGGTGAGAGCGGCGAGGGCCTGCCCGGGAACTTGTTGCGCGGCGCCGCAAGTTTGTTACGGGGAGCGGAGGCCCGCGGGCACCGGCGGTCCCGCCCGCTCCCCTCAGGGAGCCGCCCGCTCCCGTTCGGGGCCGTCCCGGGGGCTGAAGGCGCCTGAGGGGAGCGGGCGGGACCGAGCGCGGCGCCTCCCGGTTTTTATAGGACCGCATATGCTAAACCGTCGCTTTATTTCCTTTAAATATCTTTTTTGTAATCGTTAAAACAAAGGGGAATTGCTTAAAAGGTAGCCCGGGAAATCCTTCTGGTGGAATTCCCAGGATTTGCGGGGAGTGGGGGGGTTATTTGGGGATAATGGGAGTTGTGTTGCGGGATGTAATATGATAATGATAGGGAAATAATGGGGAAATGGGAAAAAAGCCTCTTTATCGCAGGGTTGGGTTGCTGGGGGCTGGATTGGCCCGTCCCAGTTGGATCAGCTCTTTCCCTTTTGGGAGGGGAGTGGGGACTGATGAATGGATGTTCCATGAAGTTTTCCTCGAATTATACCCAGATCCCAATCTCGGGGCTGTTTTGCTGCTCCAGCAGTGTTGACAAATGTATTAGAAATGGAAATTTGAAAAGTATGCTTTGGAAAAGTAAAATTTGTGGGACAGGTGTTGCTCCCAGGGTGAGCTGGAAGTGTCCAGATTTTAGATTTTACAGATGGAGCTTCTCCCCTTGAAATTCCTGCATGTATGGGGTTTTCCCCTTAAATTGCTTTCTCTTTTCCTTCCAAACCAAACCTTTAATGGAGCAGTCTTCCTGTTGTTGGGACAACACGTCCTGAGCTAATCTTAGAAGTTCTAAGAACCTGCCTGGGTGGTTTTGTATCTCCAGAGGGAATCATAGGTCTGATCCCAAAAACTGTGGGTTTTAAACCCGCTTCTACAAAGCTGGAGAGACAGCTTTGCTGTGGGCATCAGAGTATTGGGGTTGTTTGGCTGGAGTTTTTGCCCATTTTTCCCTGAATTAACCCCAATATCCTGTGGCATTCCCTCTGTGTGCTGTGGGGCTGAGCTGGGGTCACTCCCTACTCGCTGTCCCAGCAGTGCCAGCCCCGGGGCAGGGAGATCCCGCCGGCGTGTGGGGCTGGCCGCCTTTGACTTTGCTCTTTTGGATGCGGTTCCTGTGGCTGAGGGCTCAATACTGCACTCAGGGCTTTCATCTTGACTTTTTTGGAGGTGAATTCCTTGTGCTGTTTGGGGTGAAGGGGCAGGGGCAGCGTTTGATCCGCCCGTGGATGAGTTCAGGAGCTGCAGAACCTCGAGTTCATCCCCAGGCAACTGTTGCATCTCTATGGGGAAACAGTAATGATTTCAAAAAATTGATACTCAGGGTGATTTAAGGTCTTGGATACAGTTTCCAGCTCAGTTTGTGTCCCTGCCCCGGGCAGAGCTGGAACTGGATGGTCTTTAGGGTTCCTCCCAGCCCAAAGATGCCAGGATTTCATGAATTTAGGAAATCCACAGGGAGCAGAGTGGGAATTCTCCTTAGCATGGCATTTCCTCATAGCTCTGGTGGCAGCCACGGGTCTGGAGGGACTACAGATCACCAAAGTGTGGATGGGAAAGTGGCAGGCTGGTGATTCCTGCCCTCAGCAGCCATCCTAGAACCTTGTGCTGCTGTTTGAGGGTGCACAGGAGCTCATCCTGCCCTCAGGAGCCATCCTAGACCCTTGTGCTGCTGTTTGAGGGTGCACAGGAGCTCATCCTGCCCTCAGGAACCATCCTAGAGCCTTGTGCTGCTGTTTGAGGGTGCACAGGAGCTCATCCTGCCCTCAGGAACCATCCTAGAGCCTTGTGCTGCTGTTTGGGGGTGCACAGGAGCCCATCCTGCCCTCAGGAACCATCCTAGATCCTGTGTTGCAGAGGATCAGTGACAGGCACAGCCCTCCAAGCCCAGTGTGGCTCTGGAACTTGTTGGGTTGCAGAGGAAGGCTCTTCAGAAAGCAGGGCTGGAGGCCAGAAAGTGAAACTAAATTCACCAAAAGTGCTGCTTCACTTTTGCAGAAGCAATTTGAATACAGGACAGACAAAAGGAAAAAAAGAAGATTTTGAATATATATATTAAAATTGGGATTAATAACCTGTGTTAGGGATCTTTTTACTTTTATGTGATTCCTCATACTCCAGCATGTCAGAAGTTTGTTCCAGGCATAAACTGGAAAGAAAATATCTCTAACTTAAGATCAGCTGAAGCTTTGTGACTGTTACAGTATCCTGCATTAAGCTGCTTACAGGGTGGTTTTGGTGGAGGGAATGCTGATACCCAGAGATTTTCTCCAAAATAAGTATTTTAAAGCCTCCTGAGAAGAAAAGGTTGGAGCTGAAAAGCTTGATTAGCAGCTGAAAGAGAATGGGTTTTGTTAATTCAGCCTTTATAGTGCTGGAGTGAAATGTAAGTGAGAGAATGAGATCTTCTGATCCCAGACTGGAGGGGCTGGGGTCAGACTTTTATGTTGAACAGAGGCAGCTCAGTACCTGCTGTAATTTCCAGAAGTGCCAATTCCTGCTGTTCCTTCTGTTCCATGAAGGGATGCACCAGCCAGGCTGCTACAGGATATCACTTGCCAAGATACTGAGCATGCAAAAATAAAGGGAACCAGATGAGGATTTGGGGTTTTTTTTGTTGTTCTTCAGTGAATTAGGAGTGGGTGAGAGGGTGGCCATGTGTGGCCAGAGGTGAGATGGGAGCACTGGGGACTAAATATCCCTGATTTTTGCTTGGCATAGCTTGGAATTACCTGCAGGCTGCTTTAGTTCTGGGTTCAGGGGGTCTGACAGGTCCTGAAAGGGGAGATCCTGCTCCTCCTGCTGCTTTTGTGTCATGGCCCTGAGCTTCCATGGGCTGATCCCTCTTGCTGAGAACCTCAGGGCTTCCTGCAGGGCAAGCAGGGAGAGATCCCACAGGAGCTGGAACTCAGGAGCAGCCCTGGCCCCAGCAGGTCCCCAGGAGGCTCAGGGGACAGCTCCTGCCAGGAGGGGACAGCCAGGGGGGTCAGGCTGTGCTCCAGGGAACAGGGACAGGAGCAGAGGGAACGGCCCCAGGCCGGGCCAGGGCAGCTCAGGGTGGATTTGGGGCAATGGAAGGGGCAGTGCAGCCCTGGCACAGCTGCCCAGGGCAGGGTGGAGTCAAAACCCCTGTGCATGTGGCACCTGGGGACATGGGCAGTGGTGGCCTTGGCAGGGCTGGGAGGGCTTGCAATGGACGGTCCTGGGGATGGAATGGACGGTCCTGGGGATGGAATGGACGGTCCTGGGAATGGAATGGACGGTCCTGGAGATGGAATGGACGGTCCTGGAGATGGAATGGACGGTCCTGGAGATGGAATGGACGGTCCTGGGGATGGAATGGACGGTCCTGGAGATGGAATGGACGGTCCTGGGAATGGAATGGACGGTCCTGGAGATGGAATGGACGGTCCTGGAGA